CCGACTCTATTTCCAATATTGCCAAAACCGACCAGACCAGTTACAGCAGGAAAAAGCCCAGGTCCCGAAGGTATTAGGCCAGGTCGCGGCGGGAAATGCAGTAATGGAAGCAGCGGAACCATTCCGGCTTGGTTTCCTGGGTACATTGATGTGTTTGTTAATGTGCTAGAAACGGACATAAATGGATCTGGGCACGGTACAGCAATCTTTTGTTTCGGAGCATGAGTAGAACTAGTTATTGTTGAGCTTATTTTTTCGGGGGAATACACTTTGTTGGGGAATTCTTTTATATTTTCTGGTATGCCAGTGTCATATTTTGATTTATTTTTTTTTCTTTCTTTTTTGTCTTGTGCCGGAAAAGTTTGAAAATAGTCGCTAGAGACTTGCTCTGTATTGCACAGGTTAAGAGGCTCTGTTGGCATTGGGACGTTCAATGCATTTTGGGATAATAGCATTGAAGATGACGCTGGGAGTGTGATAACACTCGCTGACTTTTCCCTTTTTGCTGTTTCAACCAGAGTTTGTGATGTTAAATTCGTTTGTTTTAATAGATTCTTACCGCCAGGTTTGCGGCCTCGCTTTTTTGGCTTAACCGAATCAATAATAGACATTTCAACGTCTGCTTTAGGTGTGTGAGGGGTTTGATTCAATAAACCAAAATTGTTTACACTAGGAACGTTAATGTTCTCTGGATTCAGCCCAAGTGGAGGTGTAGGAGTTATAGTAGTCCCAGATGGAAGACTTATTAATGATGATCCGGATATTGTGCTTCCAAAAACACGTACCCCCATTCCGGGAGGTCCCGAAATGGCTCCACCATCCTGACGAGGAGTTCGTGGCTTGGAAATTTTCTTAAAGATATCCAACTTATTGCGTTCCGGTTCGCATGGGGTTTTCTTTGCTGATAATGATATTGGCGATTGTTGTATTGTGCCGTGCTGCGTTGGAAAATTTAAACTTTGCGAATTGTTCTCAACTTCCTTTATAAGCACAGTATCTTCAGTAGGTATATCAACTGATAGAGAATTTTCTGTATTTAAATTCGTATGTGGTGTAAAGCCGCTCATGGTTTGAGAACTTTGTAAGTAGCCAAAACTTTTATCGTCAATTTCAAGCTTAACCTCTTTTTGTCCATGCTTAGCCTGTTTTTTAAGCATCTTTTCTAAATGTATTTGATTAGGATCGGAAATGCTGTTCCCCCGATTTACTCGCTTCTTAGACTTTTTTACGTGTAGGATCTCACCATTTGAATGGTCAGATGGGTTCTTTGAAAGTTTTTGGTACATTTTCAAAGCCTTTCGCTGCGATTTTTCCTGAGTTTTAGCGAAAGCAATATTTGATTTATCTTTTCTGCTGAGCTCGTCTGTTAAATCTTGTTTCTGTTTTTTACTCTTTTTAGTTGTTGCAGCAGTCGATGCGGGTGATATTGATAGATTGTTAGAAGGTAGTAATAAGAAGGGCTCGGTGCTTTCATTCGTTAATAATGCAGTATTTTGGTTTTTGGTTTGGTTTTTGTTTTCTGCATTGTTGTGAGATATTAACTTTTTTGAGTTTGAGTTTATCGATGCTTCCTTTTCAGATGTAACCAACTTCGGAGAATAATCCGAAGGGTGGACAACTATCGACGAGGAAGGCGGTGCATCCAGGCCTTTATATTTTTCTAGAAACAGAAAACAAATGAAATTCTATAAAGATATCATTTTAAGTTCGTACCAATTATGTCCGGTATGAAAGCTTCTGGCAGTTTCCCTTCGATAGCTGGACTGATAAATCCGCCTGTTGTCATTACCACGCTGCTCATTTCTCGGACTGAGCGACCAGTATCCGAGTCAAAGGCATTTGACGGAAAATTAACCACAGCGTTGGGAGAAAGGGAATCAATTTGATTGTTGCCCAGTTTCTCTGCCGTACTTGTCACATCGAACTCTGTATTTGCCCCGTATTCACGTTTTTGTGAAAATTCCTTTTGAGTATCAGGTTGAATCTCCCGTGGCTCAGGGTCCTGCATTGGTGGCAAATACTCAAATATGTAAACAGGTCGAGTTAGGGTTTCTGCGCTTCCAGGCTTAAGAAAGTTCATATTTGATGCTTTTCGAATGGGGTACTGGGGAACATCGCGGGCAAACCCCACAGGCTCGACATTCCCAATGTAATCCAAAAGTTCTTGAACATTTATATTCAAACTTTTCATACTAAGGCGCGCGTCCTTAATACTGGGTCTTGTACGATTGGCTAAAACCATAAAATAAATTAAAAATTAAATGTGTATCACCTTTTATGATACCAACAACTTTAAGATTTGGCGATATTTTTTTGAAAATGAAAAAATAAACAAGGAAGGAAGCAAACTTCGGCAAACCGAAGTTTAAATACCCTAGCAGCTAATAAATTTTCGATTTATATGCGGAAATGTTTAAAATCATTGAACCTTTGATGATTTTCAGCTCAATTATTCGATCATTTCTATGGCAGCTTTTTGATTAAATTAAATTAAAATCTTAAGTCTGAACTATCAAATTATTACTATTTTCAAAAGAATTTTTAATTTATTTTTCCAAATGTTCCTATGAGAGCCATATGCTATAGTCGTCCGATCCGGATCGCTCCGGCTTATGTGCTACCGTCAACAGAAATACAAATTTTGGGAAAGTTTTATGCAGATATGTAGCTTTAAAACTAAGAGTTTCAGTTGAAACGGACGGACATGGCTAGATCGACTCCGATGCTGATCAAGAATATATATAATTAATAGGTTCGGATGCCTCCTCCACTGCGTTGCAAACTTCTGACTGAAATTGTAATACCCTCTGCAAGGGTATAAAAAATAAATATGCACATGTAAACATTCGATAGACAAGCCAAATAAGAGGATCAAACACTTGAAATCATAGCAAAAACGAAGGTGTTTTTATTGGTTCCTCTATCGAAATTTGAGACATAGAAAGATGTGTACTGTTCTTACTTTGTTATGCGTTTGTTTCTTTAACTAAACTTACCGTGCTCCATATGCCCATGGAGGTCTCGGGCAAACTCCTGCGTAAATTTTTGCATTACATCTTGTAACAACTCCAAGGGTGCACTCAGTGTGCTGCTGTAACCAATAGTTTGTGCTATCTGCGCAATAACAACAAGAGTAAGGTCTGAAGAATATTTTTCTGCCATTGTTTTTCTTCAACATTTATTTTTATATGTACACTATTTTTTCTGATTTGAGAATTATCAGCGTTAGTGGTAGAGCTGGACATCGATGGCACTATCGAGGTATCGAATTTTTACCTTTCTGAGCCACCATCGATAGCTTTTTAGTCGCTATCGATGCATCACCATTGCCGCATTATAGGGAATTTCCACAGAGATCCATCCACCTTCCACCATCCGTTTTTATCGCATTTATTTTAAATGTGTATAAAAATGCGCATTAATCTAAATGCGTTTTAATGCGCCAATGGAATCTGGCTATAGCTTATATATGAGTACAAAATGTTCAATAGCCTGATTCCACTGCCGAATTAGTGCACATTTTAAATGTGCCTGATTCTATTGGCGCACTACCATTAAGCTATTGCTATTCCGACATGTGAGTGGCATGAACTGCTGATATGGGTTTGTTTACTTTTCAATTGTCGCAAATCAAAAGGAAATGAATTAAAAATCATTAATATGAGCAAGTTTTACGGATATCTTTAGTGCCCAACAAGACATCAATTTGCCAACTTGGGTGACAAGAAAGGGAAGCTGATGGTGTTTTTTGACGAGTTTGCAAAGGAGAGCACTACAGTTTCTAAAAAGGGCAAGGATCCCCGTATATGTGGGATTTAATTCCTGCCAGAGGTCCAGCAGTAATGTATTGTGGTACTGTGTTTTCAGTAATTTTTATACAAAATAGATTATATATTCGAAAGTTAACCGAAATTGCGCCAACCTTGCATATTGAAACCAGCTGTTGTGGTGGTGGCACAAATAAAATATCGTTGAACATCGGCATTTACAGTTTTTTTTCTAAAAACGTTCAGGATGAATGATTTTTAATCGCATTTATTTTAAATGCGGCATTGAGCCTTATGGGTTTCCCAGTGTATATAAATGCGCATTAGGCTAAATGCGGTTTAATGCGCCAATGGAATGCGGCTATAAAAAACGAGAAATATCATAAAAGTTTTCGACCAATTTTTCAAATGCATTTTTCCCATACTTGTAAGAAGTATTATTGGTTGAACAGTAGTTTAAACAATTCGTTATTCTTTTCTTAACATATTTGCCTACTCATATTTTTTTTAAATTGGCCTATTATTATGAAAATGGGACAATATAATATACGCTTCCTTGTAACACAATTCCGTTTTCATCGCTAACCGACCGTCGCTAATTTGGCGCACATTGATTTTTTATCGTTTTTATTTTAAATGCGGTATTTAAAGACTAGTCCCACAGAGCCCAACCACTAACCATATAACATATGTTGTATGGTTAGTGGCCCAACCAAGCGATTCGGTTGGAATTTTTGACTGGTGTCCCACAGAGCATCCTTCCACCATCCACTGTCCATCAAAAGTCGCATTGGCGTATGCAAAATTTTTTGAGGGGAACTTTGACTCTATCAAACTTTTTTATAAATACTTTTTCGGCTCTTATTTTATTTTAATACTATGGATTAGTTTTTAAATTCTATTCATATTCTTTCGCGTCAAGACTATAGAGGTGCACCGAATTAACATCGACTAAATATTGTCTAGAGACGTGCGGTTAGGAACTAAATTCCACCGTCAAGGAAACACCGGGAAATTTTTGGCACGGCAAAACCTTACGACCATCTTTAAATGATGTGGTGTGTGGTGATATGTGAGACTATGCGACAATGCAATCAGGCTATATCTCGACTGTATAGTGCACGGCAATATAAGACATCCAGCAAGCGGGGATAGATGTGATTCTGTGGAAATCACCCTTTGGTAACACATTCAAACTTATGATATTAAAACATAACCGCAAAACGGTCCCATTAAAAAAACCAAATTTAAGATAACCATTTAGATTAGATCCAGTTTTGGTTGCCAATTTTTAAACTTATTTTTACAGTATTATAATTCACTTAAAAGTATATTAACAATAGCTTAAACCTTTTTCACATCTGTTGTGTATATTATGTTGTATGATTATGCATATACAAAGACTTTAAATACCTTCCACGAAAACAATAACAAACTGACCAACCAATTCTTTGGCTACGATTAATTGACATTAACACATGAAAGGTTGCATAAATCTAAAGAAAATGTATTTTTCCAACTGTAGACCAGTAAATATATTTGTTTTACATCTTAGGTAAATAGTTTGCAACGCTGTGAAGGGGACATTACCGATCCTGTTAAGTACATGTATGGTCAAAATAATAGCACCGACAAATGATCGACAAGGTTTTTTTCTAAAATAAACACAATATTTTAAATACATGTTTTTAATTAAGTACAGCTTTTATTTTTCGCTTGGCAATGCCAAGACAAACAATTTCTTTTCTTTATTATATGTCCGTTTATATAAAATCAAGGAAATGGCACCGTTTTAGCTTTAGTTGAAATAGGAATGAAATTGTTGTCAAACTAGATAGACCCATTTAAATGCAATGCAAATTAAGTTTTAATTTTGAATTTAGGCAGCTTAAATAAAGCGATCCAGAATGGGCTAACTTTCAAGAGAATTGGAGAACATTCCGTTTGAAACCCTCAAATTCATTAAGAGAGAATGGGTCCACAGATTTATTAAGCAATGTTAATAAAATGGTTAGATGAAATGAGCGATATATGTATGTATGGGTGCGGGGCATTAGTCTAAGTACCAGAAGTCTCCCAAACGTCCCGCTTTGTAGCAAGCCGAAAATCGGATTGATATTTTTAAAACGTAACCGTCAGTGGCGATCTCTTTTCCCAAATGGTTGAAAAAATATTCAGAATCTTTTTTTTTAGCCATTTTAAAAGGTTTCTTTCTTGTGCACTATCCATTAAACACAGTGAAGACTTTATAATAGTCTTGGCGATCTTTGCCCAATGACTGGATTATAACTATAATTGATCGTCCCTATTTGGAAAAATCTTGCTTAAAATGGTGTTTCCATATCTTGAGGATATTGTGATACATGAAACAGATTAGCAATCCACAGCGCTGCAGCGTACGACGCCTTTACAAATATAGGACAGATTTTAATTCGGGTTCAATTGACTATTTTCTAACCTATTTTAGTCCCATTTCATTTTTTTATTGTAAAATGACAAAACAAATAATTTAGTTTAAATACATATTTATTGACACCAAAAATGATTAGGTCGGTGTTTTAATTCAACCAAGGAGAAACCCTGATTTGATTTTGGCTTAAAATATAATCTATGCCAATGTTTAGTAGATTCTAAAATAACAAATGGTAAAAAAGACCACACACATTTTTTAAATTTGTTCTTAATCGAATAATAAGGATAACAAAATGCAATCTATGAATTCAAATATTGATAAAGCAAAACACTTCTTCGTGGAAAGTGGGATCTTAGGACCCACAAACTTTAAAAATTCAAGTGACTTGATTCGGAAAACATCAACCATTCACATTGATACAACCCTAAAAAATCAGGTGAGGGTTATTCTTGATAATATTCTATGTCTAACTCGATCTTTATTACAGATAAGAAAAACATCATTGTGCCTGAGGCATAAGGGTTTAAACGAAACAAATACATTGAGTAGTTACGATGAGTCTCTTATTAATCTTCAAAACGAAATATATAACATGAGAGATACTTTACTCCATGGCGAAACCAAAATTGTAATTCTACGTACTGAAATTGGCAAACTAAAGGTAAAAAATATTTATATACATTTGTACATTAAACTTTGATTTAAGAATCAACCCAAACCACCATCCATATTTTTAAACTTAATTGCCAATCGTATCGCAATTTTAAGCCTTCGCAGGGGTCAGATGTTTTTTGTAGTCAAAAGTATTTCTTCTCATTTCTAAGATCCGATTTTCTTGGAACTGGTTTTTTGGGCTCACAGCAAGAAATAAAAACAAAAAAGAAAGCAAAATAAGCCAAGCCGAAGCTTATAAAATCTTGCAGCTATTGCAAAATGAATTATTCTTGAAAACATTTAAATTTTGATTTATTTGCGTATATGTTTAAAAACTACTGCAATCGCAAGACAACTTTTGGGAAAGTCTTATGCAGATAGCTTTAAAACTGAGAGACTAGTTTCCGTAGAAACGGACGGACATACGGACATGGCTAAATCGACTCTCCTAGTGATGCTGATCAAGAATAGATAAACTTTATAGGGTCGGAGACATGGCTAGATTGACTCTTCTAGTGATGGTGATCTAGAATATATATACTTTTCGAAACGGAGATGTCTCCTTCACTGCGTTGTAAGGTTATAACAAGAAAATAAGATAACTTCGGCAAGCAGAAGCTTATATACCCTTGCCAATATTGCCAAGATTTCATTTTTCTAAAACATCTAAATTTCGATTGATGTGCGTGTATATTTAAAAACATTGAAGCTATGACGATTTTTAGCTCAATTATTCAATCGTTCCTATGAAAAATATTTGATTTCGTTATTTTTTTATACCCCTGCAGAGTGTATTATAATTTCAATATAATTTCACTGTAAAGTATATATAGGGTCAAGTAAAAAGTAATCTATTATTTGTACATGAATAAACCGAATTTAAATGAATTTGATATAAATTATCAAATAAGCACCATTTTTTCTACAATCGACTGCCATTTATAGTATTTTTATGATACCTCTCTCCTCTCTTGTAACTAATCTAACATTATCCAAATCGTTCGAGATTGATAGAAAAAGGAGGTAGTCACTTTGTGCGGTGTCCGGGCTATAAGGACATCCAAGCTGTCGGAGCTTCTGGAGAGTCGCTATTGATGTGTCTGGTCTAGTGCTGTCCTGATGGAAAACAATTCCTTTCATATTGTCCAAAGCGGGGAGCTTCTGGGCAATTGCTTCCTTCAGACGGTCTAATTGTTGACTGTACAAAACCATAGGGGAGCAGCTCATAGTAGATAATTCCTTGCCAATCTTACCAAACACACAGCATAACCTTTCTGGCCGTCGATCCTGACTTAGCCACCGCCTGGGCCGGCTCATCCTTCTTCGACCACGACCGTTTTCGCCAATCACCATCCGCTTCAAAAACGGGTCGGTTTTGATGCGATTCAGCAGCGATTAGCAGATCGAAATTCGGTCCAACAGGTTTTTTTTTTATTTTTCGCTGTCCTTTGGATCATTAATACTGCCATCTAAGCTATTGTATGCCTCTCGTAGGACTAAATCCAGATTAAAAATGCCAATTCTAGAATTTGAATAGATATCTACAATTTCAGAATTATTATTAATAATTAATTTGTATTCTTACAGCAAGGACTTCAAGCAATAATGCCTGCCCAGGTAGAAGCTCAAAACTACTCTGACGAGGTCATCATGAAAATCAAACGTCCGGTGCCGAGTCTTTGTTTATTTTGCCAACCCATTAATACTTCCGTAAAAGGATCGTCAAACTGGAGTTCAACGTTTGTCAAAAAACACAAAAATAATTACCCAAATAAGAAAGCTTTAGGTGAAAAATGTAATAGCCAATTGTGGATCAGTGGCAAATAAAAGTAAAGTTAATATATATTAGATCTTTAAAAAATAGATTAGGGTTTTGCACTTTCTTTTATTGGTTTTGCCAGAGATTGCATTATGCCTCCCCTTAAGCAGATTAATCAGAATTAATATTACACTTTATTAAGGTTAATTTCATCTATTACATTTGCGATAGTAGCGTTATATATACAATAAATTAATAACGTCATTATAACATATTTTGTATATTCAAAAAATTTAAAAACTTAGTTTCATAAAAAGCACTTTGTAAGGTTAATGACAAACAAGAATTGCACGCATCCCTGAAATAAAAATTACAACTGGGTCATTTTGAATTGATGTATAACTAAATAACAAAGTACAATTTTGGAGCATTTTATTATTGACGATATTATAAGTAACTAAAAATTTGCTATATCTAGATTATCTGCAACTTGATTACAACAATGTATTTGACTTTATAATTAATAAATTATAATATTACATATGATATTTAGCTAGTAGAGAAAACGGTTGAGGCCTCCAATATTTGTATTACGATAGTTCTTAACTGGTAAATTTCAATTATAAATAACGGCCATTTGTATTTTCATGATTGCATAATTCTTTCATCGTAGCATCAATAAATCCGATGGTAGAAATTATGGTTGCTTTAAAGTACATTAGGATTTTAAAATATAGTAAATAAATGGCACCTACTCGGACCGATTTCGGAGCTTCTGCTAAAGCCAAAACCAATTGCATATGAAATAAAGTATTATGTCATCAACGTTGTTCAAAATACAGCCATTTGACAAATAAAACAAATTGTTATGAACATTCATTAAAATTTATAAATTAAACTTTTTTACTTTTAAAATTGAATATTTTGGGTCTACAATTCTGTGTATATTTGACCATTAAGAGTTTGTTTCTTATAATGGACAGAGGAATATGCCAAGATCGACCATATTAGGAGTGTGAGTAAAATGGGGATGCCGTTAAATGTATGTTTTATTTAAAAGTAACCAGCTGTATTCTCTATGACCACTTTCAGTAAAAATCGAGATTTCAGGAACGTTTTTCATTTGTGTAGTAAAACGTTTTAAACAAACTTATTTATTGGGTATCACTAGAGTTGTATAAAAGAACTCATAATCTAATCAGGCCAAAGAGCATTTGAATATTATAAATCACAATTTTCTATGAATTGTTTTCGGTTTTGCCATATTAGCTATAACTATTTTCATTTGTTCGTTGACTTCCGAAAAGGCGTTCCATCATTGAGCTGACGGATCTGAATTTGCTTTAAAATACTTTAAGACAACTTTATCTGTAAATAATATTTTAATATTATTTTAAAAACATTTTGAAATTTCAAAATTATTGATAATTTATTGGATGAATCTCAAAAACAGAAATTCACATAAACATTTAACATTAAAAACAAGAAAGAAAGCAAACTTCGGCAAGCCGAAGTTCATATACCCTTGCAGCTATTGCAAGAATTAAACATTTTTGAAAACATTAAAATTATGATTTACTTTCGTATATGTTTAAAAACATTGAAGCTATGATGATTTGCAGCTCAATTATTTGATAGTTATTTTATATATTTTTATTATTTCTAAGGGAGCTATATGATATAGACGTCCGATTTTGATAAAATTTAAACCATAATTCTGAAATATTTAACCATTGCTATATGTCGAAGAACTAAACAAAAAATTAAAAAACAGCAAAGTTATAATTTTTTTTCATTTATTTTTCCGATTGTTCCTATGGGAGCTATATGCTACAGTCGTCCGATTTTGATGAAATTTAAACCGTAAATCGGAAATATTTAACCATTACTAAATGTCAAAGAACTAAACAAAAAATTAAAAAACAGCAAAGTTATAATTTTTTTTCATTTATTTTTCCGATTGTTCCTATGGGAGCTATATGCTATAGTCGTCCGATCCGGCTCGTTCCGACTTATATACTACCTGCAATAGAAAGACAACTTTTGGGAAAGTTTCATGCAGATAGCTTTAAAACTGAGAGACTAGTTTGCATATAAACGGACGGACAGACGGACAGACGGACAGACGGACGGACAGACGGACAGACGGACATGGCTAGATCGACTCGCCTAGTGATGCTGATCAAGAATATATATACTTTATAGGGTCGGAGATGTCTCCTTCACTGCGTTGCAAACTTCTGACTGAAATTATAATACCCTCTGCAAGGGTATAAAAATACCAGAGCTGGCAAATATTGGCCCTGCAAAAGCCACCCACTTTTGGGACCAAAGGAAAAGTGAAGCATGACTGTCTACGTTAAGAATACTTGCAAAATGTTAGTAAGCTTCCCATAATTTAGAAACCTATTTGCCCATTTTATGTAAAGCGTTGATTCAGGAGTGCTCACGCCTATGCACATTGAGCACAATTGTTATTCTTAATGCACACGCACAGGGGCCCGGCACATTATGTAGGCTTGCTGGGCACATTTTGCAATTCACTCACACTTTTTCGATTCTTCCTTGCGGTCAATTCGCTACTGATAAAACCGATGCAAGGCAGCAACAATTTCTCTTTTGGATGGCTGAATCGAATGTAATTTGTTTTTGTCTTTTCATCGGCTCTTCACTTCGTGATCTTTTTACATGTGTTGGTAAATACACTGCCATAAGGAAGTTTTGAGCCCCCTGCTTTGATAATTGTATAGAAATGGAACTTATGAACTTTCAGGAAGTAAAAGTTTTTACATTTAAAAAACTCAAACACCAGACCTGATTGAACTAAAGTGTAATGGCAAACTTTTCTTAAGGCCTAACTCATCAAAAGCACAAAATGAAGTCGCGAAAACAGACCTTAAAGTACAAAACTCCATTGAGTCTATCAATTTAAATTTTTCCCAAAATACCTGTATTTTTCGTTTGTTCGTAAACTATAATACATTCAGACCATTTACTTTTTTGTTTATATTATAATAAATAAATCAAAACATGCTAATATATTATTTTCAAACGAACATAAAATCAGCATTTCCTTTTTTGAATAACAAAAAGTAACAATTGTGAAACGTACGATTTAAAAAAATTAAATTGGAATTCTACAATTTTAAACCTAAAGAATTAAAACAAAAAATCGAAATTAGCTAAGTTATATTTTTTTGTCATTATTTTTCGGATTGTTCTTGTTGGAGGACCGATCCGATACATAAAAAAATACAATTTTTGGGAAAGTTTAATGCAGATAGCTCTTAAACTGAGGGACAATATTGCGTAAAAACGGACGGACTGACAGACGGGCATGGCTAGATTGACTCCTGGTGATACTTATATACTTTATTGGGTAGGAAAGGTTTCCTTCACTGCGTTGTAAACTCTTGACTGAAACTATTATACCCTCTACAAAAGTATACAAATGGGTTTACATTTAAAAAATTCTAAGATGTTCATGACGATTCTTTTGTTTGTCAAATAGCTACATTAAAAACATAAGTATACGTTGAGACAGTTTTAGACTTAAGCCACCAAGATTCACTGTTCTGGATCGCAAATTAGTTTGCTGTAAACCTGAAGTTGTTTGATTATTCTAAGTTATGCCTATAACGACGAAGCCGAGCACTATTTTCAGTTTTTGGATCCCCCGGTGGTGGCGAAATGTTGCATTTAGGTTGTGGCTCAGCAGAATATTCACTCGTTGGTATATTATTTGATTCTGCGTTTTGAACAAATTGGGCCCCAATGTGTCTAGTCATAGGAGTACCGTTGTCATCAAAATGTCCTAGCATTGTATTGGGAATGCCACGGGTCCTTAAAAGACATGTAATCATATTTACATTTAAACTTAATGAGCAGCTTAATTTCCCCAAGCTTACCTGCTTGAAGTTCGTGATCGAGGTCTTTGGAATTTTAATTGCAATTGCGTTGGGTCAGTCACATATTTTCCTTCAGTAGATTCTCTTCGACGACGTAAACCTAAATTTAAAAGAATTGCAAGGGTGAATAAAAGATAAAGAACGCGATGTTATCGATAAAAAGTATGAAGGGACAGTATCCTTAGTACCATCAACAGTATGAGTCGATCTTTCCGTCTGAGTGTGTGAACGATGAGCTAGAGAATTAAAACTGAACATGCAGATTCTTAGGATACTTTGGTAAAATTATCCAATTTACAATTTTGGGTGGATGATTTCGTTAGCTTCAACCAATCTGCATGTTTAGGCCCAACCATTTAGCTCTTGTTCGTGGGTTTTTAAATTTTGACGTCCATTTATACGAACAGAATTGATTCTTGTTGCCAGCATACAAAGCATACAAAGCCAGTCAGAAATAAAGCCAACATTAAGGACAAACCTGGTGTAAGATCCGTTATATTAGGAGGATATTCTAAAGCAATGGAGTATGTGTTGCGAACAGGTGTAATATCCTTTACGGAATTTGGCGTGTCAATATGTGGATTGTTAAGGATTTCCAGTGGGGCTTTTGTGGACTCAAATGTTTTAGATGTATTTATTGTAGTATCAGCACCCGCCCATGATGCACATTTTGATTGGCGCACTGGTATTTTGCTAGGATTTAATAGTGGAAGGTCGCATCCTGACTCAGTTTCCCTGTAACCAGTGCAGTCAGTGCAGTCTCCTGCCAAAGGAGCTTTGGAGTCACCTGCATTGATATTTGCTTGATCATTTATAGCGTTGGATGTTTCACTATTTCCATTCAACTTCAGTTTATTGACACCAACAGAATGTACGCTGCAGAAATTAGCTTCGATAGGCGGTTCGGTCGTGTGGGTTGGTGTCGTAAAATTATTGATTGTATTCGTTGGGGAAGCTATTAGTGCATCTTTTTCTTTTATTTCATCACAGTAAATAAGGGCTTTGTCAGAAAGGTCGTGGGCTTGATTTGTGGTTGAAGTATTTTTAACAGCTGCCAGTGCATCATAGTAAACAGAGTCGTCCAGATGAGAGGTTTCTGCACAAAGAAAACAAAAGCAAATAAATTTTTAGTTTTTCTTAAGACCAAAACCAACTGTAGAAGTGATATCCAGGGCAAACTTTTGTGGTGAACCCATTTTTTTAACGTTAAACGGAATATAACTAAATTATATAGGGAAAACCTTAAAATTCATCATTATAAGTGTTCAGAAAATGTATAATTTATCAGAGTTGTTTAGTTATTTTAACAGTTTTCTTCGGCAAGCCAACGTTTTAATACATATGCAAAATTTTCGAAATAAAGACAAAACTGTATTTGTTTAAAACAGTTAATTATTTTGAAGGCAACTAACATACACATTTTTAATAAATTGTATATTGTAATAATAAATTAATAAATTGTATATTGTATAATTGTATATATAGCATAGTTGTATGCTATATGCTAAGCCGTGACGAAAAAATGATTTTGGATAATTTCCGTTTAGCTGAGATTTTCTTTATGTTTTGAGCTGAGCACACAATAATGGGAACAGCGTCCGGAATTATTTAAATTTGAAATAATCATTTAAAATCATTTTCATTATTTTAATTTTTCTCTTTGGCCGGTCAACAAAAGTTTACCTCATCGAGCATTTTTTTGGGGCTTGGTCCCATCTTTTATATTAGTTATCCCCATTATGTCTGTTTTTTGTTAGTTTTTACATATTGTTAACTTACTTTCCAATTTACTTAAAAACTTAAATGTGTCTTTTAGCTTAAAAAAAACTATGTTGTAGCCAAATATTTTCCATTTTTTTGTGAACTTTCTCTTGTTTCCCGAAAACTTTGCCTTGGAATGCTTTTAGGGCGGCAAACCCGAATCAAAACCGTAACCGAAATTAATTTATTTAAAATACTTTGCGATAAGTTAAAGTGCAAATGATATTTTTCCCTTATTCTTTAATGGTTAAGAACGTGGTTAAAAACTTTACAAATTTGGTTTATAAAAACATATTTGACCTGTTGAAAATTATTTTGTGATTGCGTGTCAGAATCGATTCGATTCTAGACTTCGACATTGAAGCAATTCCGCCGCCCCTGTTTCAGTTTCCGAACGAAAAAACAAGTATTTTCTCGGGACTTATTTTTAACACGCTTTTTTCGTTCGTTTAAATATGGTAATAATCAAAGTAAAATTTAATCACAGTAAAATTTAAAAATTGTTTTGGTTCTTATTACCGCTTAATTTAATGATCTATTTGTGCAAAACGTATGTCGTTGGGACCTTTTTCATCGCCTTTGGCATTTCTGGTTCTCAACACTTCTTGTGAAAAATTCACAACACTGACACTATCATTTCTTAGCACTTGTATTTGTGGCCGTCAATGCCAGTTCCTTCGATTTTACGCGCTAAACTATACCATATTATACCATTAATCCCATTAGCTGAGGGACACCAGCGGGCCAAAATTTAATTTGAGGCAGCAAAACTTTGTCAAATCAAACGACTTTGTCAGTAGGGGACAGCTGCCAGTCAGCTGATTTTATTTGAAAACAAAAAAGGACCAAAAGAAAGGAAATTTTCCTACGTTAAAGGGAAACCCGAAAATGTTATCAAATTCACTTCCGAGTGAAAACCGGAACAGGCCTGGTTATTATTAACCAAATTTAATCTGCAGTATTGTTCATAAAACATTAAAGAATAAGGTAAAAATTATAATTTATACGTTTACCTATCGCAAAATAGTTTAAATTAATTATTTTCTGAATATCAAATATCAACAAAATGCAATTCAAATCTTTTCTGGGAACGACCTTGCCGCTTTCACAGGATGTTTTTGAAATTGTAAACTAGCGATCAGGCAAAAAAAATTAATTTAAAAAACAAGTTACACTGGTAAGGTCCCTTAATATCATTAAATCTGGTCTCTCAGTTAAAAGCTAGCCGTATGAAACTTTCCCAAAAGCTGTCTTCCTGTTGCAGGTAGTATATAAGTCGGAACGATCCCGATCGGACGACTATAGCATTCAGCTTCCATAGGAACAATAGGAAAAACAAAGAAGGAAAAAATGATAACTTAGCTTTTTTTAAATTTTTTTTAGTTCTTCGAGATGTAGTAATGATTTATAATTAAGGAATTACTATTAAATTTATATTAAAAGCAGACAGCTATATCATATAGCTCCCATGTGAACAATCGGAATATTAAAACAAATTATTAATTTATCGGTATTGACGTGGCGCCATTTGCCGAACTGCTTACAACTGCCAACACTGGAAGCTAGGATCGTGCAGTATCTCCGACTCCGCTATCAGTTCTTTCTTCCTGTCTCTCTTGCGACCGAGCAGCAGCAGAGCGACGGCGGAGCGGAGGCAGGACACTGAATAACTCTACAACCCGATTTTGAAAATTTGGAGTCCACCGATATATGACCTAAACACACATCAAAGTGCAATAGCTCAGGTCTAACATGTATCAGAGTGGGCGTGGATCTGGCTTAAAATAAACTTGCTCTGCGCAAGAATTGCTAGAATCTGCATTTCAAATCCCAAATCTTGAGCTTTTATAGTTGGCAACTTTTTTGCCAAACAACTTAAAAACGGTTTAGAATTGAATAATTACCTTTTGGAATAACCCGAATTTCCAGACGCCCACTAATACAACCGTTGTTTTCCTGGGTGGCTGCGTTTAAAGCGAAATTACTTCTTTGACAAGCCGTTGTCTGTACGTGCCAGGGCTTAATTGCGTCTTCTACCAGCAAAGCGTCGGATTTCGACTGCATCGGCTGATCGTCAAAAATATCGGCAACTGAAACATTGGGAAGGCTGCTTCGATGTTTTGACTTGGTTCGATCATCGATTGATGTGTTTAACTGAAATGCTGTGTCCTCTTTAAAAGGGGAAGGTAGGACATTCCTGGAAACTGAGGAAGTGGTAGGCTTAACTTTGGCCAAAGGAGTGATTTCCGAATAAGCTTCTCGCACGCACACATTTCTCGCTATATCCATGCGATATACCTGAAAGTTAAAATAAATATCATAATTACAATCCTTAAGCTTTTGCGGGCATAATCGACAATTCAAATTGTTGACAGGTTAATTTTTTTATTAGAAGAACAGACCCTAAAATACTTAAAATGTCTTCCGGCAAAGTTATAACAAAAATGCATCATGCAATTCCTTATTTCATATCAGAATATATTGAATATGCTTATGCTTACTGTGTCATCAAATGCGGCTTGTTGCACAGCCGGCGGTTCCAAGTTTTTACGTAATACATTACCCATTGCAGGCTCAGACCAGCAGTGCGGTATGGAGATTCTCAATGCTTCATAGTTTTCGATTCCAGTTATGTTAAGTGTGTACCTAAAGTAAGGTAAATCAGAAACCATTTTCTTAAAATTAAAAATGTCAAGATATCCTCCTTAAAAAATAATAAAATATAGTTCGTTCTAGCTAGGAAAATCGCGGTTAATTTGTTACTAATAAATAGAAAAAACATCGTGATTACTTGCTGATTTATGTCAAGAAGTAATGTTCAAATTTTCAAAAGGATCGGTTCAATAGTTTAAGTTTTGATGTTCACGAACTTCAAAAAATACGTTTTTGGGAAATTCGATTTAAAGTTTTTATACGTGAACAATCTGGTGGCACGGATGGACTTGAAATATATACAGAATATTCTCAACATATTGTTAATTCAGAAATATATATTTAAAATAAATGATAATTGTTAGCTGAGTAAAGGGTCTCTAATAGTCGGGGAACTCGTCAATAGAGTTTTCATTGTATTTTTTTTTTACACCCCAGCCGATGTTATTTTATAAATTTGGTTAGTTGTGTCTAACGCATTGATATGGAGATTTGCGACACTATAAGATATATATTTTCTTGAATAGCTAGAAAAGTTGATATAGCGAAGTCGTCATTTGTTAATTATACCCTTGCAGAAAGTTTTATAATTTCAGTCAGAAGTTTGCTCCGCAGTGCAGGAGGTCAGCGTCACTCGGAGAGTCGATCTAGTCATGTCCGTCCGTTTCTCTAGTCTCTAGTTGTAAAGCATCGTATGAGTATATTATAAAGCAAACCGCAAAATTAATGAAAAAAAAACTATAACTTTGCAGAGGGTATTATAATTTAAGTCAGAAGTTCGCAACACAGTGAAGGACACTTTTCCGACTCTATAAAATATATATATTCTTGATCAGCATCACTAGGAGAGTTTATCTATCCATGTCCGTCTGTCCGTCCGTTTCTACGCAAATTAGTCTCTCAGTTTTAAACGTTTATGCATGAAAATTTCCCGAAAATTGTTTTTTTATTGCAGGTAGTACATAAGTCGGAACGAGCCGGATCGGACGACTATAGCATATAGCTCCATAGTTTGTAATTTATTTTTTAAATTCTTTTTGTCCTATTAATAATTTGACAGTTCAGAATTACGCTTTTAATTTTATTGAAATCGGAAAACGATGTCATATAGCTGCCAAAGGAGCTATCAAATAATTGAGTTGCTAATCATTATAGCTTCAATGTTTTTAAACATATACGAAAGTAAATCATCATTTTTTTTTCAAGAATATTTAATTTTTGCAATAGCTGCAAGGGTATATAAACTTCGGCTTGACGAAGTTTGCTACTCTTGTTTATAAATATAGTAGTAGTCTATGGTAGAAGTCGAACAAGATTTAGGAAGAGGATATACTCATAAAACATTATATTTCAAGGTACTTGTTTTGTTTGTGATTTTTTTTTTATACCCTTGCAGAGGGTATTATAATTTCAGTCAGAAGTTTGCAACGCAGTGAAGGAGACGTCTCCGACCCTATAAAGTATATATATTCTTGATCAGCATCACTAGTAGAGTCGATCTAGCCATGTCCGTCTGTCCGTCCGTCTGTCCGTCTGTCCGTCCGTTTATATGCAAACTAGTCTCTCAGTTTTAAAGCTATCTGCATGAAACTTTCCCAAAAGTTGTCTTTCTATTGCAGGTAGTATATAAGTCGGAACGAGCCGGATCGGACGACTATAGCATATAGCTCCCATAGGAACAATCGGAAAAATAATTGAAAAAAAATTATAACTTTGCTGTTTTTTAATTTTTTGTTTAGTTCTTCGACATATAGCAATGGTTAAATAATTCAGAATTATGGTTTAAATTTCATCAAAATCGGACGACTATAGCATATAGGAACGACCATAGGAACAATCGGAAAAATAATTGAAAAAAAATTATAACTTTGCTGTTTTTTAATTTTTTGTTTTGTTCTTCGACATAAAGCAATGGTTAAATATTTCAGAATTATGGTTAAAATTTAATCAAAATCGGACGACTATATCATATAGCTCCCATACAAATAATAAAAATATATAAAAGAACAATCAAATAATTATGCTGCAAATCGTCATAGCTTCAATGTTTTTAAACATATACGCAAGTAAATCATAATTTTAATGTTTTCAAAAATATTTAATTCTTGCGATAGCTGCAAGGGTATATGAACTTCGGCTTGCCGAAGTTTGCTTTCTTTCTTGTTTATATTTGTTATTGTAAAGGTCAAAATTTAACTTAAATTCAATAGTCCGTATATATCCGTATCAAATGGATGTTTTGGGTCCTCAATCTGATATCAAAGGTTTTTTGAGTTAAAGGTGCGATCGTCACGTCATTATTACCTTGTCAAAAGGTGTTTTTGTTTGATATCATATAGCTCCCATAGAAACAATCGGAAAAATATATGGAAATAACAAGAAAGAACGCTATAGTCGAGTTTCTCGACTTTTAGATACCCGTTCTTCAGCTTACAAATTACAAACTAAATGTTCCCACAGAACAACCGGGGTTTTCGTGGCACCATCTAAAGACCTGTCTTCTTTCTACGCAAACTTATCTCTCAGTTTTAAGGCTTTTCCAAAAGTTGTCTTCCTATTGCAGGTAGCACATAAGTCGGAACGAGTCGGATCAGACGACTATAGCGTATAGCTCCCATAGGAACATATGTTGTCAGAAATAACATAACACAACACTAAATTGCGTTTTTGATCAGACCCATAGTCTGGTCACATTCGGATCTGTCTCTTTTCCTTTCCAAGATTCCTGTGCATGTGGCGTGTGTCGTTAGGAGCTTATAAAATAAAAATTGAAATCTAAATCTAGTCTTTTGTCTTGGTGCGAAAGGATTACAATAGGAACAATTGAAAAAAAAACCAAACCAAATTATTACTTTGTTGTTTTTCTAATTTTTTGTAGTTGGTTGTGGTTTAGAATTTCAGAATTACCGTTTAAATTTGGTCTAAATCGGACAAATATATTATATACACAATCGGAATACTACAAAAAATAAATGAACAATATTCTCTGTTTTTGCTTTTTTTTTGGGTAATAATTCAGAATTGCGTTTTTAATTTTTATTCAAATCGGAAAGCGATATCATATAACTGTCGTAGGAACGATCGAAAAATTAAGCTGAAAATCATCATAGCTTCAATGTTTTTAAACAAAAGCGCAAATAAATAGACATTTAGATATTTCAAAGAACACACCATTTTTGCAATAGCTGCTTCCTTTCTTGTAATTTTAATAATATTGGAACCTTTATTCTGAAACAATAAACCATTTCTTGTATTGAAGCATATTCAAATCAATTAAAAAACAGCGATGCTATATTTTTTTCATATATTTTCCCGATTGTTTGTCCGATCCAGCTCCTTTGAAAATCATAGGCTAGTTTGCGTAAAAACAAATGGACAAACAGACGGACATGACTAAAACGACTTTCCTAGTATCTATCTAAAACAAATCAATTTGAGAAATAAAAAAAAAAAAATTTTTTTAATAGCTTTTGAATGGAACATCGGATCCAAGCAAATTTGGTGTTACCAAACCGGGCTCAAGATCTCAAATTTAAATTTTTAGTATGCCACATATACCGCCCTTTATCCTCAAGCAATTAATATTCATAAAGTCTTGGTATTAGCGATACCTTTCGATTGGTTATTACTCGTTACGATCGGACGATCAGAGCAGAAGTTTAATTCTGCTGATACATGTGGAGTACACGCTCTTGGTGCGCATCGTCACTGCATTTACTGTACCACAGTGATGTATCGTACAGGCAGCGGGAGCAGCAGCAGCAGAAATGGCCAATTGCTCAATTCTAGCCGAAATGTTGATATGGCCGCGCTGGTCCTTGACATAAAAGGGACAATAAAGAAACAGACAGACTAATTCAAAATAAATACGAAATAAAATACTAACGATAAATTTTTCCAAAGTAAGGTCAAATCAAAGACCCTATAATACACTAAGATGCATAACGCTCGAACAACCGATTGGCAATGATTTTTTTCAAATCAAAATCTTAATATCATATCTTGTCGTCTGCTTTATAAGTGGCGTCCTGGTGTAGTGGGCAAAGTCCACGTCCATAACTAAGGACGGCGCAGGTTCAAATCTATCTCCAGACAAGTTTTTGATACTATTTTTTTTATTTACTCTTTGTTGGTTTGTCTTTGGGGTTTTTTTTTCTTTATTAATTTTTTTTGTTTGATTTATATATTTGTATTTGATGATCAGCTTACAAAGCAAACCGTAAAAAAATAGATCGGGAATGCCAACCTGAATTCTTAGTAATAACATAATAATAATATTAATAATAAAATGTTATCAAGCTTAGACGACTTAAATAGCAAGCATTATTTACTGTAAAGTCAATTAAAAAAAACACGAACTATAATTTATGCCTACTCCGTTTCTTTAAAAATGATGTATTATTATTATTTTTATATTTAAATGTCCTGTAAAAGAAGTGTTAAAAATATATAAACATAAAATAAAATATTGCCTTCAAGCTGGATTTGAACTCGAGTTGTTTTCGCCCAAAACCCAAACAACAAATGCGGTGCGCCACTAAAATCTTGCATTCTAGCCTCTTAGTTTTTTTTCTTGTTGTCAACATAACTTGTAATTCAAGTTGACACAAAATTAAATCCAGAAGACATTTACGTTTGACAAAAAATTCAAGGCCAACTTCAAGGAATTCTAAATATGTATATACGTGAAGCCTTTTGATAGGAACAAAACAAAAACGTATATTAAGTTGTCTGCTGTGTGAAACTCAATCCACTTTCATAGCCTGATTCCATCGCCGCATTAAAACGCATTTAGCCAAATGCGCATTTATTTACACAGGGAATCCCATAAGGCTAAATGCCGCATTTAAAATAAATGCGATTTTTAAATGCGATTAAAAACCATTCGCCCCGAACGTTTTTAGTATAAATACCGGAAAATACCGATGCTTAACGATATTTTGTTCGTGCCACCACTACAACAGCTGTTTTCTATAAGCAAGGTTGGCGCAATTTTTGATGTCTTTTGAATATAACATCTATTTCGTATAAAAATGACTGAAACCTAGAGCGAACGCTGCAAATTGTGCTCGCAGTACCACAACTCATTACTGCTGGATCTCTGGCATAAAATAACTCCCACATATACGGGGATCCTTGCCCTTTTTAGAAACTGTGGTGGTCTCCATTGCAAACCCCTCATAACAACGCAATCAGCTTTTCTTCATTGTCGTCCAAGTTGGCAAATGTCTCGGTCGCTATATTGATGTCCTGCTGAGCATTACAGAGTTTAGTAAACTCACTCATGTTTATTAATTTTAATTAATTTCTTTTGGATTTGCCAAAATTCAAAAGTAAACAAGCCCAGATCAGCTGTTCGTACCACTCACATGTCGGAGAAGCATTAACTAAATGCTAATGCGCCAATGGAATCAGGCACATTTAAAAAGTCCACTAATGCGGCAATGGAATCAGGCTATCACACAAGTAAAAAATAACAGGTAGTAATTTACAAATCCTCAAAAAATTGGACAGTGTGGCGGTCTATGTGCCTTGTATGAGTCTCCCACTAGCGGGTCGTCCAAGAATCCAGTTGTCGATGGATGTAGTCTTTTAAGTCTTCTTATAAGATCCTAATTTATTAGAACTGGCTTTTTGTGCTCACAACAAGAAATAACAACAAGAAAGGAAGCAAATTTTGGCAAACCGAAGTTCATATACCCTTTTAGCTACTGCAAAAATTAAACATTCTTGAAAATATTAAAATTATGATTTACTGGCGTATATGTTAAAAAACATTGAAGCTAAGCTGATTTGCAGCCCAATTATTCGAATGTTCCTATGGATAATAAAATTAAAAGCGTAATTCTGAACTGTTAAATTAAAAAAAAATACAAAATAAAAGTTACATTAATAAAAAAGTTGTTTAATATTTTTGTTGTTTCCATGGGAGCTTTATATTATAGTCGTCCGATTTTTATGAAGTTTAAACCGTAATTCTAAAATATTTAACCATTACTATACGTCAAAGAACTGAAAAAAAATTAAAAAGCAGCAAACTTATAATTTTGTTAGATTTATTATTACTTATGTACTACCTGCAATAGTAAGACACCTTTTGGGAAAGTTTCATGCAGATAGCTTTAAAACTAAGAGACTAGTTTGCGTAGAAAAGTACGGACAGAAGGATAGTCGGACAGACGGTCATCCCAATTCCATTAAGTCTCACAAAAATAATAAAATAAGAGTATATCTTGATAGTAATTTACAGATATAAGTTTATTCAGAAAAAAAGCCTGATTCCCGACCAATGTAAACAGAGTAGAATTTATACATACATACATATAAGATGAGACATAATGGGACTTACCTTTTCGGTTTCTCTTTTCCTTTGGTTGGGAGATTTGGGGTTTCAGCAACATGTTTTGAAAATGGTTTGGCTTCATTTAGGGGCAATGAAAGATCCAGTTTAATCAGTTGCTCCAAATTGGGTTGCGACTGCGAGGCGAAATGTATGTGGTATGCTTATCATGTTTTCATATATTTGGGTTAGTTTATTTAAAAAAAAGGCCACATTTTAAATTGTTAGCCCTCGAGAGTAACTACTGTTAAAAGTATTTTGATATGCGAACATTATTGAAAAGTTATTCACGATTACAGGAAGACATTTTAAGCGCTTTAAACGATGTTAGAAGGAATTTTATTTTACCTGCGGCTCTCTGTTCCACTCGTTATCAGTAGTGTCCTCCGAGTCATCGAACTGGCTCTTCCATTGGGACGCCAGCGTGAGGGCTCCGCCCTTGGTTACCTGTTGTAGTGCTGAGACGTTTTCATCGTCTATCAAAGCAAATTGGGTAACAGAATGATCCCCAGCAGCGCTGCTCCTGGCGGTGTTGCTTCCAGTGCCAAAACATCCTCCAGCGGTCGATCCGCTGTTGATCCTCTGAATTGAACTGGTGTTTGCTCCAGAGGAAGATGGCCGCAAATTGGTTGATGTTGCCGATCGGCGGTTAACTGGCGGCATCACAGCCATTCCAAAGATCTGACCATGCTGACTGATGACAAACTTTGAGGACGAGCTGTTTCCGGCAACGGATCCAGCCTTGGTGGTGGTTGGAAACTGTGCAGTTGTCTGTTGTTTTGTTAACAACTCAGGCCCCTGCTGGCTGTGACCCCCAGACGCAGTCAGATCATGCACACTTGTTGGCGGGGCTGTGAGCACACGAAGACGCCCAAAAGTGGACTTTTGGTCTTCCGATGAACGCTTGACTTCAGAGCTCTTCTCGGCTGTCGCTGCCGTTGGCGTTTGATTTTGACTACTGGCGAACTCTGGTGAACTAAGTTTTTTCATTTGCAAGGCATCGCCGTTTTTCTGGTCAAATATACTCTTGGCGACTCCGTCGACTATACTCTCGCACTCTGTATTTGGTTTGGCTGGCAAAAACTTCGTAGGTGCTTTGTCTTCCAATTGTGGATACTGCAAGCAAATAATTTGATCAAAAACACGAAAGGAAGCAAACTTAGGCAAGCCGAAGTTTATATACCCTTGCAGCTAGTGCGTACATTGAATATTTCTTAAAACATATATATCTAAGCATCTGCCTATAGGTAAAAAAAATGAAAGCTATGATGATTTTCACCTCAATGATTCAATCGTTCGAATGGCAGCTATATGATATCGATTTCCGATTTTTATAAAATTTAATGCGTAAGTCTTACTATATCAAAAAGAATTTTAAAAAAATTGAAAAATACTAGAAGTTACAATTATTTTTAATTGTTTTTTTCTATGGTAGCTATATGATATATTCGTCCGATTTTGATCCAATTCCAATACATTAAACCAACAATAAATATAGAAGAGCTTTAAAAAAAAATTAAAAAACCTCAAAGTAATCATTTTTTTTTCATTTTTTCCCGGAGCTATATGATATAGTCTTCCGATCCGGCTGGTTCCGACTTGTACTACCTGCAACACTGAAAGGCTAGTTTGCGTAGAAACGGACGGACGGACGGGGAGACGGACATGGATCGATTGACTCTTCTAGTGATGATGATCAAGAATATATATACTTTATAGGGTCGGAAATGTCCCCTTCACTGCGTTGCAAACTTCTGACTGAAATTATAATACCCTCTGCAAGGGTATAAAAACATACAAAATAAGATTGGCTTTTAAACTAACCGAATTTCCGTACACCGGAGCAGAGTTGTTTTGATTTGTTGTAGAAAACGATCCAGCGCCGTTTTGGGGCTGGGTGTTCTTTGTATGAACCGCTGACTGTGGTACTATTACCTGTGCATCATTGCTGCCTATAGCACCCATTGGCGAGTTGATTGTTGCACTTTGAATATTGGGTAATGCCACTTGTGAGTTTGTGGCTAACGCAGACTGCTGTTGAACGAATCCTTTGGGTGCAATGTTTTGATTATTTGTCGTATTGCCGTGTGGAACGGAGGCTTCGCCAGATCCCTTTGTTTGCGGGGCTAGCGAGGTTGCGTTGCAGTTTCTATCGACCTTTAATAAAGAAAAGATTTAAAAAACCTTTTTAGATGAACATAATTAACATAATCAATTTATGCTGATGAACTTACCTTCTCCTTCATGTTTAATGGTTCGGTCGCTGTTATATGAGCGGTTTCGATATCAGCCCGCTTTCGCACCTGTTAAGAAGTATACCAATAGAGGAAACACATCGTATAGTGATTTGAAAAAATAATTCCATTCGAATTACGTATTTAATTATTATTTATTTTCCCATTGCTTCATGGCAAGTATATTATAGTACCGAATGTCTTTAATTATAAATAACGTCTATGGTTCTGATCTGTCTGTACGCATGTTTTGAAAAATCTATTAAAACAACTAACGTTACCTACATATACAGCCAAAAAAAACTGTTGAAACTTGCCTACATTGCCTACAATCAAACTTAAACTACTTAAATTCGACGTATTGATACAAAAGTTGTTGCAAGAGAACTCACGTATTCTGTGCCGCTTGCGTTGGATGCTGCCACAGTCATTTGTGTTATATTCCCGTGCATGTAATCGTTCTTTACGGGAACTGATGGGTGGCCTGTTGTTGTACTTATGTTGCCAATCGCCGCGGAGTCTACTTTTTCCCAGTCATATGGATCAGATTCCTTGACGCCTCGTCTCTTCATACACCGCTCGAATAAACCGATAAGCATCTGCAAATGCAAATGCAAATGCAAATATGTTTATAATTCGTTTTGAGTTCCCTGATTGGGGTAATCTTTGATTTACCGCGTAGTCCGGTCGGTCTGCATAGGTAAGAGATTGAATATGCTCTAGAAATTGCTTTAAATCCGACGGCAAGTGCTTCAACAGTATTCTGTGGTCGTATTTCTCCTTTGTCAGTCCCACTTGTTCCTTGTCTTTTATTTTCCGCCACGGCAGCTGCCCATTTACAAACTCAACGAGCATATAGAAAAGCGACCACAGATCGTCATGACGTCCCATTTCCCTATTGCGATGTGCATTAATAGAAGCATAGCGAACAGTGCCGCGAAAACCAGCTGCAGCTCTTGGACACCGCACTTCGCCAGTGCCAGTGGTATACTGACGCGCCAATCCAAAGTCCAGCATGTAGACGCGTCGACAGTTATAAGGCAAACGACCCACGGAAAAGTTGCTCTAAAAAATGGATCGTTACCGAAATATTAAAAGCTTTAACAAGTTATTTGAAGAAAAAAGTATTACCGGTTTGATATCACGATGAAGAAAGCCCACAGAATGTATGGATTCAATGGCCTTGAGAATTTGTAAGCCTAACCTAAGTGTTGTACTAAGCGAAAATGCGCCACGCGGCTGAGCGCGACGAAGCTCAGCTAAATTCTTTCCTTGGAGCTGCATCACCACATAGTTAAAGCGGTCATTTCGCCCGCATCCGATGAACCGACACACGTGCTCCTTCCCCTGCAGCTTCTTCAAAACGGCCACTTCCATTTTAAGCACCTGCTTGGGTTGGCGGGCGGACTCTACTTTGAGTGCGACCTGTTCCCGTGTAATCAGGTCTTGTCCCTCGTAAATCTCTCCGAAGCCGCCGCCACCGATTTTACGCACCACCTGCATAAGATGGAAATGAAAAATATGTTATTAAAAATACGTTATGTTCCACAAAACACTGAAAGACAAATAATAGCAAACACCATTCTGCCCAAAAGAACTCGAATACTTATGATTCTCCATACATCAAAGTTAATTATTTAATTTTTAAATTACAATATAGTATTGAGATGTACTTTTACCACTATTTTTTCATTGTTTGAATCAAATCGAGGTTTTGGGGTCCTGGAATTTATTTTACTGTCTTTACTGCCCTAAATTTCTAATCGATGAAAGCGGGTACGGAAACGTATAAAGGTTATCAAGTTAAATAATTTCGAAATTATAGACAAAATTAAGTTATAATATTGTATTTGTCGACAAATATGTAACAGTTAAAAGCCGTTCCGTATATATGTATTTATATTCTAGATTAATTCCATTGAGTCGCTCCAGCTCTATGAACGTCGAGTTCTCAAAAGCAACTTTAGGATTTCACATGCAGATTCTAGTTATTTTCACGCAGCGCAATTTCAAAACATGGGAACTCCCACAAATCGCGAAAGTGTGTCATGTCTCTGAGACATTATAAGTTTGTCTATCGGTATACACGAAATATGTTCAAATTTGGCTATTATTTTAGAAATTATTTAGCTAATAACTACTCTGACACCGGCAAAACACTGTCCTATGCTTATTAGAACAATAAGGATCGTTCGTTGGCAGCTATATACATATATTGTTTTCCGATTTTAATAAACTTGAATTGTTTGAGTTCTTTGTTCTTAACTCTTTAAGCGGCTGAACGGTATCGATTTGAACATGTCTCAAAAAAAAAAGTTTATTTACATTTCCTTAAGTTCGTTAATTTTTAATTTGTGCAAATTATTTTCAAAGTCAACAATATACATTCGATTTTAATAATAAAAAACAATACAAACAAGAAACTTTCCTTTGTTTATGCTAAGCTAACTATATTTTTTTAGGACTTTAGCCAAGAAAATGCATTTTTGCAATTTTAGTTGACCCTGATCACGAAGAAGTGATCACCCTAGGTGTTTTTATCTAATAACTTAATAAGATATCAAACTGTAACATCAGCACGATTCTGACCGCAACTGTAAGCAAACAATTAAATCCAGCACACACCTTCCAACGCTCTTTTACAACATGGCCCGGTTGCAACAAGTCTTCAGATGTCATTTTGCTAGATTCCTTCTCCTTGGGAGCTATCACGGTTCTAGCTTTTTCGCCGGCAGCAACCTGTGCTAGGATTGGATCAGGATCACGGTCAGGAGCAGGAGCAGGAGAGGCGGACGGTGGGACTTTAAAAGTCACTCGGCTGCGAACCCCTATGCGGTTGTTTTTCGCTGGCAAAGTGGCCGACCGCTGAAGCGCATTTGCTCCCCTACGGTGCACTTCTAAAGCATCTGTGGCCACTGCATCCGTGCCCGTGTTTATGTGTTGCAGCAGGCGGGATTGCAGGACAGCACCCGCGAGCGGCGGCGGTTTTGAGGGCGGCGGTGGATGGAGTCTCAGCAGATCCTTCTGACAATTGCGGTTGAGGCTTATGAACTGCTCCTGATTGGAGGAAGGCCGACAGGTATTATTTTGATTTCCATCGTCTGGCGCAGACGCATTTTCGTCGTTTCTGAAAAAGAAAAGATCATTTTAAATTTTAAGGCACCTTTAATATATGTATGTACGTATGTATGTACATATGTCTACTAGAATGTGGGTTGAGAGAAAACTTACAGGACCCATCGAATCCTCCTTCTTTTCAAAAACTTAATTTAATACCAATAGTCATTTTTAGACGCATTTAAACGCGACTATACCGGAATATATACATATACATGATGACAAGATGTGTCTGGCCGCCTGGTATCGGACCTAATCGCCGAAAACAACGTTATATTCATTATAATTATTTCAGCAATTCCTAACGGGCTCAACATATGAATGTATCGATATTTTTCATCAACAAAACACAAATATAGCCTGCTCACACTGGTGTTGAATTTGTTGAGTTTTGGGCAAAATCGGCTTATCATAGGAGACTAGTGATGGGAGAAAAGTGATTTTGAGTTGAGTCTGAATTACAGCCTGTCATCTTGAGTTTATTCGAACATTAAGCTATCAGTTATCTCTCGTTGCCAGCATAAATAAGGACAAAAAGTTGTTTTTGTTGTCGTTTCTATTGATTTCTTAAATTTATGTTTTCCATACAAAAATCAAAACATTGAACAGCTTTGTAAGCCTTGTAACCTTACACTTGAACTGCGTTGTCAACTAAAGCCTACAATTCGGAACGAAAAACTTTATTTTTTCTAGAGTAATCAAAGATTGGGGAATTAATCGCAACTTCGAGTGCTACGGTCTTACTGTCAATCAGCAATCAGCTGCGCTTATTAATATTCTCTATGTATCCTTATGTTATTTTAAATGACGTAAAATTACGAATTATAAATGTTTGAGGCTATGTTCTGGGACTCTTTTTAAAATGGACCGAGAAACTTGTTTTAGGCAATCTGAGTACCGGGGTGTTAAAAGAATCCGAAGAAAAGTTTCCGCAAGCTATTTGGTCTCGCTGGCCGTTGATCTGAATACTAGGCATAACGGGCAAAACAATTTTGTTTACATGCTTTTAGGAATAAATACTTTCAGATGGGAAAAGAGACGTTCAAGATGAGTTTGCCTCAGATTGGGACCTGCCATCTGCCGTTTTTTTGATTTCTACTTGACATTGTTCATATTGCTTTACTACCGGGACCAATTATAAGACTAAGTCCCACAGAGCACAACCCACCATCTCTTTCAAAGATGGTCCGTAAGGTTTTGCCGTGCCAAAGATTTCTCGGTTATTTCTTGATGGTGGAATTTAAGTTCCATACCGCACGTTTCCAGCCGATGTTTCTTATGTGCAACTCTAAAGTCTTGGCGCGAAAGTATTTAAATTGAAACGGTGGCCATCTTCGTTTCTGCGAACCAGAGGCTTAGTCAAAAGAGAAAGGGGGCTTGGGAGGTTAACGCTCCCTCAGGCAGCAATTTAAATACAGTGTAGATATAAGCCATTACTTAAAAGTTCAGATAATCATTTAACAACTAATCCATAGCATTAAAATAAAATAAAAGCCGGAAAAGGTACTTATCAAAGAGTTTGATAGAGTAAAAAAATCCTCTCAAGATTAATGGATTCATTTGCACCATCTACTAAAAATTTTCTGAATAGTCCGTAAGGTTTGGCCGTGACAAAAATTTCCCAGTTAGTCGAAGATAAAGGATTAACGTTCCTAGCCAATGTTTTCTCAGTGCAGCCCAAAAATCTTAAACCTTAAAATTATATCTTCTGTAAATAAGGTGCGTAATCGGAAGGGAAGTTGGTGTTTGGGACGTTACCGCTCCCTTTTTCAAAAAACTTTGCCTTTGCCACAACGACTGTTCACAGCTGCTTTTGAATGGTGGTGTGGTGGCTCTGTGTGATCACTAGTTTCACATCTGTCAAAAATCCCAACAGTCCCACAGAGCATATCCAGCGGAACTGTTAGGATATTAGACAGATGTGAAATTGAAAATCCACAATGCTCCATCCAACATTTATCATAACTTTTAAAGCTTACACGCTCAAATCCTTTTACCTTTTGCGAGATCAGCTTTGTTTTTTAAACACACAATCTCTAATCTCCCTCTAACAATAAACTACTTTCTCTCTTAAATTATCAGAAAATCAATGGCTTATAACATTTTAAATTTCCGCCGCTTATATGTCTACGTTATTATATTATTATTTTTTTCAGCCCCATCAGTTTTTATGATATCAATTTCGGAAAACATTTCAATAAGCTACGTTTTTCAGTTTTTTTTTCTATAATGTTTATACCCTTGCACGACTATAGCTCCCATAGGAACAATAGGAAACATAAATGAAAAAAAATTATAAATTTGTTGTTTTTTAATTTTTTTTTAGTTCTTTGACATATAGTAAAAATTATATATTTTAGAATTACGGTTTAAATTTCATCAAAATCGGACGACTATAACATAAAGCTCCCATGGGAACAATAAATATATACAATTTTTTTTTAAATGTAAATTTTCTATTTTGTAATATTTTATAAAAATTCTTTTTGACTTATTAATAATTTTACAGTTTAGAACTACGCTTTTAATTTTATTAAAATCGGAAAAGATATCATATAGCTGTCATAGGAACTATCGAATAATTAAGCTGCAAATCATCATAGCTTCAAAGTTTTTAAACATTTACACAAGTAAATCAAGAATATTTAATTTTTGCAATAGCTGCAAAGATATATGAACTTTGGCTTGCTGAAGTTGGCTTCCTTTCTTGTTTAAATTGAAATGAGTTTATAGGTATATATGTATATATATATAATTATAATTATGTGATAGCTTAACGCATAAATCACGGTTATCTTGTTTGTTTACAATATGTCGCACGTAGAGGAAAAAAGATGGACGACTGCTAGTTAATAGCATTGTGAAAACGAAAACTATTTTTTAACGTTTTTCCATCGCTCTGTCAAATCTCTATATTTACATTTACATTTTTTCGATCTGAAAAAATGAATATATCTTTGAAACGATTTTGTGGATTTAAATCGGTGGTTTTTGTCAAAAGCTGTTCACTTGCTCTCCCCCGAAAGTGATGATAATAGGTTTTCGAAAAAATATCGAAATGATATTTGAAATTATCGTTTTATCAGGTGGTTCAATACGCTGCTGCTTCATGTCCTTGACCCAGTTTGCTGGTCAAATAATGGTCAACCTTATAAATAACCTGATTCCATTGGCATAAAAGTGACAGAAACAAGCGCATGTGCAGCATGTCCTGGTCGCAGCACCAAATCGCTCTACTTCTGGGTCCTCTGGCAGGAAAAAACTCCCAGAACTTGGAAACGGTTTAAGGATAAGGCTGATTTGTATGAGATAATAAGTTGTTTGAAAAAAATGGGAAAATTTATTGACTATTGCCTGGTCTGGTTGCTATCATGTTTTTAAAAGACAGCGAGGAATGATAATAATTAGATTTACTTTTAGTCTTAAAGTAATTTTAAACTAAGACAATGGACATAGACGAATACCACGGAACACAAGAATAATAAACGATTTTGTAGCAGAATACTAAATACCAAGAGGATCGACTATTTTATTGCATGTGAAGAGATCAGACAACTCAAAGTCTGCTAAAATATAATTTAACTCAGAAAGCCGTCCGAAAACAAAGTATTCGATTAGTTGACTTCACTGATTTTTCTTCAATATTAGAATTATGTGGATCTTCACGTTGGACTTCTGTCAGGATTTGATACCAAGCACAGATCAAACTCGAAATGAAGATATTTCATAATACAACTGATGTACTCTATCCCTAGGGTTTTAAAGGCAGAAAACGCATTACTTATGATTTATTTTTTAAATTTAGTTACATATTATACAACATTTGAAAAATAAAATAAAAAATGTTCAAAGAAAAATAATAAAAAAAGGCAAGTGACCGTGAATCTGTGGATGCGCTTCGAAAAAAAGTTGGTTTGCGGTGAACATCATACCGGATTATCAGAAAAAAAGATGCATTTTTCGAGGTAATCACCAAATTTTTTTTTTTTTAAATTCGGGGTTAATTTGAAATTAATTTAATTTTCAAAAGGACCGGTTCAGTACATTTTGAGTTTTGATGCTCATGAACTTAAATAATAAGATTTCGGGAAAGTCGATTTAAAGTATTTCATACGCGAACAATCTGTTAGCACGACCGGTCGTTCGAAGCTCTGTAACTCCGTTAGTTTTACTCGGATTGATTTAAAAGTTTTACAGAACATTCTCAAAAGTGATCATGGCACTATTTACTGTTGCCAGCTGTATTTGGATGGGGGGTCGGTGTCTTTTTAAATAGTTTATAAAAACATAACAGGCAGGTGCCCGTTAGAGTTAACGTTCAATTAGACGCTTGAGAAAACCATTATTTTTAACAGGCTTTTTATGTGATCGAAAAATTTTAACTGACACTACAAACCGCCCATGAGCCAGACAGTCGAATAAATATTGTAAGCGAGGAGCGTGTTTGATTTGATCGATTTATTATATGGCAATTACCTGTTTTTGTAAATTTTGCACCTCTAAATTATTTATGTATTATCTTTTCGAATTGTAAAAGAAATTATATAATTTGTCAAAGGATTTATACAAAAAATATGAACAATTTGCTCTCCTATAAAAATCATTGCTTTTGGTGTCATAGAAACGAATTTTGTTATTTTCACCCTTCAGAAACATCCCCAATTTTATGACAGAAGAAAAGGCTCAAAAACCTATCGTGTAGCAGTTCTTGGAATGGACTCGTGTGTTTCATTTGTGGATTTTCATTCGCCACGATGTCCTCAATGTTTGTCCCCCTTATATGTAAGCTTCGGAAATTGGATCCGTATTAAAAAATAGGAGTCTCGGGATAACTTGTACTAAAAATGCTAATTTTTCCCATTTTGCTTGTCTCATATGTAACCCTTACTGAGCATTTTATTTCTGTATATTCTTTGTATAAAAGTTTGTACATACCAAAGTGAGTATGGATTTAAGAATAGGCGAATATGTACGCGAAAACGTACGTGTTAATTTTTCAGCATAACTCTTTTTTTCACTTTTTTCTCCTCCTGAGGATGTGGTGCTCACAATTATAAAACCGTTTTATCCAAGAAGGGCTTTTATTGGTGGTGTATAACCAAATTATAATGGCCTGTGTTCCGTTCCCTTTGACGCTTTGAATTTGTGCAACACATAAAACTATTTAATTCACTTTAGATTGCTTTGCTATTGTATATTTAAGCATTTTTCACGGAAATAAAATACATGTATCGATTTGTAAGCTTCTGTGAGCTTTTCCATCCAAGTAAAGTTCCCCTGTTAATTCAACGCAATGCCAGCTGACAAAGAACGAGCTTCCATTTTCCAGGCGTGGATTGCGCATGCTCCTTACATGCATGTTCACGCAAAGCGACAGGACCTATTCGATTGGGCCTCTGGATATCGATTCATGTGCTCACGAAATTGGTCGATTATTATTTTTTTAAATTTGTACTTATATTGGGGTTTGAAACCACTCGAGTTTAAAACATACCTCAGATAATCCTGTAAATGCATGTTGGCAGCAGTCTGGGTCGTATCTAGAGTTGGTTACTTTTGAAGTTATCTGCATATATTTGTGCTTTTGTTGTCACTTTCTTTGCCGGATCTAAAAGATTACGATGACGAACAAATATATATCACTTCTTAGAGTATGTACGTTTACACCTTAAAAACACATATATTTGTTAATAATTTGAGCACAAATAAATAATTAGATAAATAACAATATATAACACAGTGCTCACTCAAAATGTTGAACACTCAATTATCTTTTGTTAGTGTAAAACACTAATTTAGTACGCTAGTATTTGTTGCCACCAAATTTAAATACAATACAAAATGGAAAGAATTGAACACAGCTGGGTCTTATTCGTTTTTTGTTTCGAAAGTACACTGTAAACGTATATATAGGTATATATACATATATATATTTATATAAATATATGCGCACAGTGTTGTATCGAAGGGGGATTCAGATTCAGTATGGTTTGGGTATTCCCGAAACGTCTGAAATGCCGAAAATTTTGCAATTGAGGGAACGACCTCAAATTTACAAACAGCTGTTTCGCTACTGATTGAAAATTGTCCCAGCTTTGTTTGTCTCAGCTATTGCTTGATTTTGATAAAAATGGCCAGGGAAAGTAGAAAAACCAACTATTGGATTTAATAAAAAGCAACGGACTGTCTTAACTTCTTTATTTGCATATATTTGGTGGTTACTTTCATGTTGGGTCCAGTGTTGTCTTCTTTGTTTTAGAAGGAAGGAGCGACTACCCAGGCTTTTCCGCAGTTCATCAAATTTTCAGCAGCCTCTGGGTTGCGGAAATCCTCAAATTTCAGAAAATTCAGTTTGTATGGAACAGCTGATGGCCAGCTGACGAATAGCTAACTGATTTTCAGCACTTCAGAGTTTCAAACGTTTCGGGAATACCCAAGGTGTTTCTGTAGCAGGAGGGCTAACCCCCAAAACCCCCTTGCCTACACCACTGTATGCACAAATATATTAAATATATACATATGTTGTATATGTTTTTGTACATTCAGTATACATATATGTATATATATGTACTAATGTGTAGAAGTGTATAGCTAGCTCACTGCATCTCGCGTATCCAATTTTTTTTATGATTACGTTTATTTACGCTAAGTAGGCAAGCATTTGGAATTTGTTTAATCTATTTTAAATTTCTGATTCAAAAATAGTGGAGTTCAACACGAACGAATATAGCGCGGGATTCACGTGACTTGAATTTTATCCATCTAAATATATATATGTAAATACATATGCAAATGGTATTTTTATATTTTTATTTTTATTTTATAAACTCTTTCATCAAAAGGTCGATTAAAGTACTGCGAGTATCAAACTTCGAGTATATCCATTTTGATTAAACTAAAACATATTTAGGCCACTAAATACTATTTTTTCGAACTTAAAAAATATTTTCCCGTGCGAAGTCTTCAACATATCGGGAAAAGCTTTCTCGAAACGAACTTATTCTTTCACCGAATTCTTCTTACTAAATCTTTCGGCATTTCTGAGCAGCAAATACATATAAACGTACATAAACATGTATGTACATATGGATATACTCTCTGCATATTCGATTTTGTGTGTATGGGTGCATAACATAAACAAGAATAAAAAGCTATCTTTAGTCGGACAAAACTTGCAACCACTTGAGATGATCGGACCAACAAGGGCTATTGAAATAATTATATAATTATTGATCGAATATAAAAATAAAACAAAATTTGCACTAAAACAATTTTAAAACAGAGTGGGCCCTATATATTCGATATGGCTTGAAACTATGACCACTAGCGAACTAAATAACAATCACGCATAAATTGAGACATGAGCAAAAACTGCATGCACTAGAGGTAACTTACAGGGTGGCCCACGAAAAAGTTGCGTTTAAAGCGAAAAAAATTTATTCTTTCTAGTGGGACCGAAGTTTTCAGAGTTTACCTAAATTCGTGTGCTTCGATCACACTGTCAATCAGCTGGGATTGTTTACAAACAATTTAATTTGAGAAAGCAAAATCGAAGATGTTGAATATAAGCGACGCTAGAGTTCAATTAGGTATTGGAATTCTGGCAGTTACGCGGCTTTTTCGTGTTTTTGTCGTCAAATCCTACAACACCAAAGATTACATTTTTTATTCTTTTCGCACATGACAAATGTTTTTCTTATTTTTTTTTAACTTCCTTGAAAGAATGCCCAAGGATCCACCTTAATAAATTTTATCCACCAATTTTGCGCTATATTTCTTTAGAAATTTTGTTCAAAAATCTGTCACTTTTTCGTCTTCTTAACAGATTTAACTCTTCAACGATACTTTTTTGTAGTTATTCCTTACCAGAAACCAGCAGCTGTTAATGTTCTGAGCGGTTTTAGGCAAAACTGTAATTGGCGGGCAAAATATATTTAGTTTCCGTACGAAAAACAAATTAAAAAAAACAGCTGTTCGTAGTTCGAGTTATGGAGTTAGGGCATTGTACAATTTATGTGTTTGCATTATTTGTTTCATGGTTTTCAAGATTGAACTTAAAAGACTATATGAATGTAAGCCATGTATGCGAGAAACAAAGCTTGAGAAGATTGGAAAACCACGTGAATTTTCAAAATTATCAGGTCCGAATTCGGAATACCGTTTGCCACTTTTTATTATCTCAGTAGCTGCAAATCTTTCCACTGATGTTTCATCCAATTTTCGTGGTTTATCACTTCCGAGAAGTAACTTCTGCACTCGTTTTCAAAGTCAAATTCTAAATACGCCTTAGGGTAATTTGTTTTTGGCAATTTGTCTGAATATTCGCAACTGCCATTTTCAATGGTTAAAACTTTCGATTTCGACGTCATGTTCTGTATTATAAAATGCGTTAAACAATTTTTAAATCGGTATCAGCGCTCTGTTACCAACACTATGTTAGTGCGCATAACAGCAAACTGTTTGTAAGCGAGCCAGTTCTCGTTCGATTTCCATCTCAATTTAATTTCCGATTTGCGGCGAAAGAAAAATTAAAAAGGAAAGAAAATTTAAAAGCGATGGGGAAAATTTTTCTTATTTGGATATCGATTAACTAACAAAAAGTGCTATTTTAAAAGTTTGTTTAAGTGAGTCTATCAAGAATCAAATGTAGGGGCGCTGCAAACATAGGGAAGTTTTCTGTATATCATGCCGGTAGGTGGCGCTTCTGCCAGTTTGCTTGCCGAATCTTACCTATCACCTGGCGTAAAAAGTGTAGACTAAGAAATCAATTTTGATATTGTTTAGGAACAGCCACAGAGGCGCCACAAGGTCGAGCGATTTTAGTTTACCCTGGGAACAACACTGTTTTTTATCGAGCGTCAAACTTAGTAGCGCCATCTTTTGAGTTTTGCTTGTTTCGTGTTCATATTTAAGGTCGAACGATTTTAGTTTACCCTGGGAACAACACTGATTCTTATCGAGCGTCAAACTTAGAAGCGCCATCTTTTGAGCTTTGCTTGTTTTCGTGTTCATAATTAAGGTCGAACGATTTTAGTTTACCCTGGGAACAACACTGATTTTTATCGAGCGTCAAGCTTAGTAACGCCATCTTTTCAGTTTTGCTTGTTTTCGTGTTCATATTTAAGGTCGAACGATTTTAGTTTACCCTGGGAACAACACTGTTTTTTATCGAGCGTCAAACTTAGTAGCGCCATCTTTTGAGTTTTGCTTGTTTTCGTGTTCATATTTAAGGTCGAACGATTTTAGTTTAACCATGAGAACAACACTGATTCTTATCGAGCGTCAAACTTAGTAGCGCCATCTTTTGAGTTTTGCTTGTTTGAACAAATTGCTAAACATTTGTCACATGTATAAAGTATATTCAAAATAAATTCAAATGATTTATTAATAAGTATGTCCAAAAGAAAAAAGAAAATTGAGTTACCATTTTATTTGCATTTATCTTTTTGAATATTCCGATTGTTTCCAGGGAAGATATATTATATAGTCAAACAAAAACTTCTGATATCAAACAAAAACACCACCAAATCAGATGAAAAAGTCGTGACGATCGCACCTTCAACATACAAGATATCTGATATAAAATTTTGTGTATAATAACACTGCACAACAAAGTTTTTGGTGCCGGCTTATGGGCATTAAATTATGTTAATTGAGCTATATCTAAGCATATCTGTATACTCAGTTTTCGTTTCTAACGCTTCGAATCTGTGATATTGCGGTTTAAAAAAACAACACTTAAAGTTTTAATTAAGAATATTTCCGAACAGAACAGCGGCCGACAGTAGCTAAGCAGCGGCAGAAAGGCGGCTGAGAACTTCATAAGCCCCATAACATCTAAAATAATAGCTCGATTCTAAAACCGATATTACCGAAACGCCCCAACCTTCTAACCTTATAGTTTCCGAAGTTCATATACCCTTGCAGCATTTTCTTGAAAAAATTAATGTTGAAAAACATTGAAGCTATGATGATTTGCAGCTCAATTATTCGATAGTTCCTATGGCAGCTATATGATATCGTTTTCTCATTTTAATAAAATTAAAAGCGGAAATCTGAACTGTCAAATTGTTAATTAGTTGAAAAGAATTTCTAAAAAAAATTACAATATAAAAAGTTAAATTATAAATGTTTTTATTGTTCCCATGGAAGCTTTGCTATAGTCGTCCTATTTTGATGAAATTTGAACCTTAATTGTAAAATATTTAAACATTACTATAAGTCGAAGAACTAAAAAGAAAAATAAAAAACAGCAAAGTAATAATTTAATTTCATTTATTTTTCCGATTGTTCCTATGGGAGCTATATCCTATAGTTGTCCGACTTTTATACTACGTGCAATAAAAATACCACTTTTGGGAAAGTTTCATGCAGATAGCTTTAAAACTGAGAGACTAGAGAGACCAGACGGACATGGCTATATTGACTCTCCTAGTGGTGCTGAGCAAGAATATATATACTTTATAGGATCGGAAACGTCTTCGTCATTGCGTTTCAAACTTCTGACTGAAATTATAACACCCTCTTATCGAGAAAATAATGATTTTATTGAAATATTTAATCAAGAATTCTGACACCATTTAGAACAATATATTATATGACTAAAATAAATAGTTTTTCTGTTACTTTTATTGTTATATTACTATTCAATGGACCAAAAATAAAACAAAAAACAATTTTTTTAAATAGTAAAGTAAACGTTTTTCTATGTTGATTTTTTTTCTGTGTGTACGCTCATTGTCGCATCAGCCACAGAAACAAGAGAAGAACCAATTTAATTCAGTGAAGTCGATCCGATCTATAGAATCGGTTAAATTAAATAGTTTGCATATTTTACGGGTTGAGTAAAATAGAGAGAGTGAGAAATAGTTTCCGTCAGAACGGACCGACAGGACAGACGGGTAAAGAAAGTATTGAATTCTGAAAAGTATGCAACAGATTAAATGAAGAATTTCTAAAAATTAGAATACGACTTATATGTTTACGTAATCTGGAATTGGATCACTAGTCAAATCAATCTAGTAATTTCTCGGAAATTGAGAATTGGGATTTAAAATGCAAATACTAGTTACTCCTTCGCTCAGCTAGTTTATTTTTAACGTCAAATCGGAAAGTTGTGATTGGGCGCATTTAATAATATGTTAAGACTTGGAGTGCTGAAGCCAAAAAAGCGAGTTTACCGACTATAAGATAACCGTTACTTACCTAACAAACTTCCAAATAAATATTCCCCAGGTTGTGGCTGGCGGAATTGTCGAACTGAATTGACACACTACAAGTAAAGAGCGAGCAGTAAAAACCGCTGTCGGCTTCAGTTTTGGGGTGTACCTATATATTTGTACCTAGGTACGCACATAGGTTGCATTTTTGTATACCTTATACCTTACCTTGGTAAAAAAAAAAACCGCGAGACTATATTTTACCTTAGCTAGGTAAGGATTTGTATTTATCTAACAAATATCTTCTCAAATAATACCTCGTTTTCAAAAGTTGTTGTGTCTACCGATAGATATGACCGAAACACACACGCAGAGCTTAACTGCGGTTTGAAACTTCTAGGCGTGAACGTTTTGAAATAATCTTGCGCTGCGTAAGAATAACATATAGTTATTCTTCATGCCAAATTCCAAATCTCTAGCTCTCATAGTTTCCGAGATCTCGTCGATCATACAGGCGGACAGGCAGACGGATATGGCTAGATCGACTCGGCGATTGATCCTTATCAGGAATATATATTTTATGGGGTTTGAAAACGTTTCCATCTAGCTGTTACGCTCTTTTCAACGAATACAATAAACCCTTTACTCTACGATATTTAAGTTTTTCACAACAGAAGTCGCAAACAGAATTAATAGTTCCCTTTGCCATTGGGATAATTATATTGAAATTGCTTTAGAGTAATAGGTATCTAATAGTCGGAGCGCTCGACTATAGCTGTTGAGCAGAAAGTACAATGTTTAAATGCATTTCAATTACTTAGCAGATTACTTTCAAACTTGGCATGG